TGCTATTCATTCCCCCGGGGCAACAGGAGCCGGGACCCCGGCCCCTGCACCGCTCGTTTCCCCCTGCACCGATCCTTCCCCTCGCCACTGGTCACTCCTAGGTACCCCAAGTCACTCCCATGCCTCAGGTGCCCCTTCTCCCTCTAGGCCTCCCCTTCTCCCAGTCTATACCCCTCTCCAGTTCTGCACCAGCCCTGCCAGCTCTCCCCCGCAACCCCCACCAGTCCCCCCGGTAACCACTCCCACAGAGGTGCAGAGTCCCCATCCTTAGCGCTGCTCACATCCCGCTGTCGGGTCGGAACCCCACACTACAGGAGTCACTGGGCATCCGGCCGCATGTCCTGGTGCTGAACAAGATGGACCTGGCCGATCCCCGCCAGCAACCGGTGAGCGCCAAGGTCGGGTGGGCTGCCTGGGGGCCCGTGGGCCACTGCGGGCAGGTGCCAGAAGTGGCTCTGCCTGTCCTCTTCAGACAGTCCTGGAGCGCCTCAAGCAGCAGGGATGCTCCAACGTTGTCTTCACCGACTGCCAGCATGATGTCAATGTCAAGAAAGTAACGAACATTCCACGTGCCTTGAAGGAGCAGCTGTTGCCAGCCTGGGCCTGGAGCCGCTGTTCCAGACCTTCTCCGTCTTCCTCTGCAGATTGTTCCTCTGGTCACCAAGCTGGTGGGTGACAGCCCGCGCTACCATAGGGCTGAGGTGAGACACAGCAGTAGAACTGCCAGTGCCACCCCCACATCCCCTCCCTGTCCCACTGCAGGGACAAGGCTCCTGGCACATGTGCTGGCTTGTTATTAGCTGGCAACTGATAACTGCCTGGGGCCACCTCATTTCCAGAGCACCGAGTTCAGCATCCTGGTGATCGGTGTGCCCAACGTGGGCAAGTCCTCGCTCATCAACTCCCTGCGGAGGCTGCATCTCAAAAAGGGTATTTCCCTGTGGGGAGTGGGCCGGCGGGCCAGGCAGCGTGCTGCTTCCTCCTCTCACTGCACCCCTGCTTGCCCTGCAGGGAAAGCCACCGCGGTGGGCGGCGAGCCAGGCATCACCAAGGCGGTGCTGACCAGAATCCAGGTACCGTCCCTGTGGTGCGGCTGGGTGGCCTCTGCCTTCCCATGGCCTCCCACAGCCAACCTTGAGGCCCATCTTGGAAGGGTTGTGTGGTTCCCCATTTCAGTGAGACCTCAATGAAGGATCTTGGTGCTTCGCTCGTTAGCTGTGCTGCTAGCAGCCCCACCTCCTCCCATCCCAGGTCTGTGAGCAGCCCCTGATGTACCTGGTGGACACACCCGGTGTGCTGCCGCCGAAGCTGGGGGATGTGGAGACGGGCATGAAGCTGGCGCTGTGTGGTGAGGTGGAAGCTGTGGCTGGGGGTGCTCCCCAGAGGTGGCTTCAATCCCTGGCTGGGCCTAGTAGCTGATGGTGGGGTGGGGGTCTGTTGCTCACAGCCCCCTCAGTGGGTGTCTGTAGGTGGATGTGGCTAGATGGAGGGGTGGCTGGGGCTTGGAGCAGGCCTGGCTGGAGCTGGGGCTTGAACCTCTTCTTCAGGAGCCATCCAGGACCACCTGGTGGGGGAGGACATAATGGCTGACTACCTCCTGTACACCCTGAACAAGCAACGTCAGTTTGGGTGAGGCAGCAGGGAGACCAGTGGGCACCCCGGGCCGCATCCGCCGCCTGTGGTCCCAAGTGGGTGGCAGAGAAGCTGTGGGGGGGTTGGGGAGGCGCGGGCAGAAGGTTCCGGTGGGATGCCAGCACTTCCTCGGGCAGGTACGTGCAGCGCTACAGGCTGGCTGAGGCCTGCGATGACATCGAGGTCGTGCTGCGGCAAGTGGCCCTGGGCCACGGAAGGATGCAGAAGGTGAAGGTGCTGACAGGCACAGGTGAGGGCTGCAGGAGGGACCTCTGCCTTCTGGGGCATAGGAGCTGGGTTTTTGGAGATCCCAGTGCAGCTCTGGGCTCGGCCAGTTCCTCCTTCCACACCCAGTGCCCTCATCTCCAGGGAACGTCAACGTGACGATGTTCAACTACCCAGCGGCTGCCTATGAGTTCCTGCGGGATTTCCGGGCAGGACGCCTGGGCCGGGTGACGCTGGACTGAGCTATGTCCTGGTGAGGAGCCATGGGGGAAGCCTGGCTGCTCCCAGGGGCCACCCCAAAGGTGCTGGGGCCACCTCGGCATGGAGTCGGGTGCAATTAAAGCTGCTCTGCCAATTTCAGACCCTGGGGTGCTGTGATGGCCGTTCCGTTCTACGTGACAAGAGCCCAGGACATGGCTGCTGCTTCTAGCTGGGACAAAACCCCGGGGAGCTATTTCCTCATCGCCGTCTTGGTCCTCCTGGGGATCTCCAACCTCAAGTACAAGCCCCGTGGGCACGGTGCTGGGGGTGGCTGGCCCAAGGGGTCGAACTCAAGCCCCGTGTCCAGTCACACTTGCATTCCACCTGGTTTTATCGCACCCCCCTCATCCTCCGAGC